TGGGCACAGACCCTGGGCTGGGATGGGATCGAACCCTAGGCAGAGATGGACACAAACCCTGGGCAGGGCTGGGCACACCAATCGAGCTGAAATGAAAAAGTTCATTTCCGTTTTTAATCTCCTTTCAGTCATTTATCTTACCTGCCTCCTTTGCAAATAGGAAAATCATATCCCTGTCCCAAAATCTTGCCTGCTGAGGCCAAGAAGCCACAGTAAAACATATGTAATTCGATTTTTGAACTTTCACTCAAATCTTAAAATGAATCTTGCTTAAATGTTAACAGGATTTGCTTGTGCCAGACAAAGGTGTGTTGGTGTGTTTAGGTGTGTTGGATGCTTTTTCTTTTGGCTGTACATACTATCAAGGGTCTGGAATATATTTTATCTGTTGATTGTCCTTTCCTAATGCAAGCTATCTATTGGTTTTCATCTAACAACCCAGGGCAGAAAAAAGATAAAGATCTCTATGTAACCACTAATGTGTGTGTGGTAAGACAACACATACTATATAAGTGAAGGGGATGGACATACAGACCAGGCTGGGATGGCTCAAACCCTGGGCTGAGCTGGGCACACAAATTGAGCTGCAGTAGCAAAATTTCATTTCTGTTTTTAATCTCCTTTCAGTCATTTATCTTACCTGCCTCCTTTGCAAATAGGAAAATCATATCCCTGTCCCAACACCTGGCTTGCTGAGGCTGAGCAGCCTCAGTAAAATATCTGTAATTTGATTTTTGAACTTTCACTCAAATCTTAAAATGAGTCTTGCTTAAATGTTAACAGGATTTGCTTGTGCCAGACTATTTTTAGGTGTGTTAGATGCTTTTCCTTTTGGCTGTACTTACTATCAAGGGTCGGGAATATATTTTCTCTGTTGATTGTCCTTTCCTCATGCAAGCTATCTATTCGTTTTTATCTAACAACCCAGGGCAAAAAAAAAAAGATAAAAATCTTTATGCAACCACTAATGTGTGTGTGGCAAGACAACACATATTATGTAAGTGAAGGGGATGGACATACAGACCAATCAAAATGAAGGCTGAAGTAATGTCAGCTATACTGATTTAATAAAGGTATAATAGAAGTGTGTCAGAATAAATAAGGAAATCTAAAAGTTAAATGAGTAAACACTAGTAATCAAATTAGTAAAATAAAAGAATCAAATAAAAAAAGATCAGAAGAGTGTACTGTTAAAGCTGATGAGAGTTTGTTGAAGTTTTACATACAAAAACTGCATGTTTAAGTGAACAAAAGGTGTATATTTAAGGAGCATATCTAGCAATTATTACAAGCAGAGCAATGATGTGATTCTGCTGCTGTCCCACAGAACAACCAGAAGTGGAGACCAAGTACGGGAGAGTCCGAGGGTACCAATTCAAGGTGGACACAGCTGAGAGGACTGTGAATGTCTTTTTGGCACTTCCTTTTGCTAAGCCCCCGCTTGGATCACTGAGGTTTTCCGAGCCCCAGCCACCTGAGCCATGGGAAGGTGTCAGAGATGCCACTTCCTACCCACCAATGTAAGGCAATGATCAAACACACTTGGAAAGTGGTACCCAAACTCTGTGCACTTCCATGACACTGATGTGCACACAGGGCCGTCCATGAAGACAAATGCCTTGGTGCCCCCTCACTGCACCTGCAGCTGTTCCAGTGGATGCATTTCCAAAGACACTCTGTGAGCTGCTCTCTTTACCAAAAGCTGCTGTTTCACAGGCATCAGTGATGAACTGAGATGGAGCAGCACTGACAGACAAAGCTCTGGCTCAGGAGCACTTGGCCATCACTCACCAATCCCTATAAACCTTTGGAGCAGAGACAGAGAGGAGCTGAGGAAATGTTGGAATGCAACAAGAGGGGGAAAATGCTGAGTCAAGTGCTTAAAGAGCATATAAGAAATGCACAACAAATCTGACCTACCTTGTAAATGTCTCACTCCCATTGTCCTACTGCCCTTCTTTAGTGTCTCAGGGCTAAAATCTACCATTGCAAAGTAAAAAGCTATTGGGGATGTAAAATGATTCATTTATATTTTCATATGTATTTCACATACCAATCTAAACGGTGCTGGACATCAGTTTCTGCTTGGCACTTTGTTGGGGAAATGCAAAAAAGCTTCTCTTCACAGCTTTCAGGTTTAGTGAATTCTCTCTTGCCTGTTACTTTTTCATTTATTCAGGTGTCTACAGGACCAAGTACAAGGACAGTTAATTTCAAATATCGCTACCAACAGAAAAGAGAAAGTTCCTCTGCAAGTGTCTGAGGATTGCTTGTACCTAAATGTGTACACACCTGTTTCTACAGGAAAACAGGAGAAGCTGCCTGTAAGCAAAATCCTTATAACACCATGAGCAAAATTATCTGACAGCAAACCTTCAACCTCTGCCACGAGCAGACATGCAGGGGCACTTTTGTAGTGATGATCAACTTACATGCTTTGCCCCAGCAAATATTAGCTGAAATTGAAAGGAGACACAAAATCCTATTTTACAAGTAAAATTGTATTGGCATGTAGCTAAGCAGTGCTTGATTTAATCTACATGATCTGTCCAAAGTCACAGGGCACTGACACAGTGTAGGCATGTAACAAACTCAGTGCCATTTTGTAGCCCTGCAGGCCTGAGATTTTAAAGAGTTCTACAATTTGTGAAATGTAATCTGAAAGAATCAGGAGAGAAATAGCACAGAATGTTATATCTTGGGGTATATTTACTTTTTGTCACCGGGGGCTCTTACCTGTGCTGGGCTGATCTTCTTTTTCTTTTTCCAGGTCATGGTATGGATCCATGGAGGTGGATTAGTTTTTGGAGCAGGTTCATCATATGATGGCTCAGCATTAGCAGCCTTTGACAACGTGGTGGTTGTAACAATTCAGTACAGACTGGGTATTGCTGGGTATTTTAGGTAAGTCGGTTGATCTCAGTTTTTCCAAAGTGATTTCCAAAAGGATGTGTGCAAAGCCTTTGTAAAGAGAAGTGCAGAAGGCTTGCTTATGCAAAGAAACATTTCTGCACTGCACCTGCAAGCGCTGGGGACAATTTGCAGCCCCAAGGCAGCTTCCAGGTCTGTTCTTGTCAGGCTGCTGCTCCAATCTCGGCTTCCCGAGCCATCCATTTGTCAGTCGGGTAGGGAACTTCTGTGTAGAGAATGGCAGATGATTTCTCACAGCACAGATTGTATCTTCCTCTGCCTCTTTGCTTGCATGGAGCATTTGAACAAATCTGTTCTCTCCCTGCAGCACTGGTGATGAGCATGCCCGAGGTAACTGGGGATACTTAGACCAAGTGGCGGCTCTTCGGTGGATTCAGGAAAACATCCTGCATTTTGGAGGAGATCCAGGATCTGTCACTATCTTTGGAGAATCTGCAGGAGGAATCAGTGTTTCTGCTCTTGTAAGTTCACAGTAATATTGAACTGTAATTACTTAGGGAAATGACCCCTCCATCCCTTTTCAGTATCTGCATGGGAAGCCAGCGAGAGCATAGGGATGGTGTTACAGTGACACATCACCTGGGGCTTTGACACAACAACAAGGCAAAACAACAGAGATTTGGAATGATAAAAATGTGCAATTTTCATACTCAAATGTTGTCCTTAAGTAACAGAATTCTATTACTCATCTGCTGAATTAAATTCTGGTTGGTTTGGTTTTTTGTTGTTCACTGTAAAAAACCCTCAAAGTCTAATCTCATGAGAAAAGTCCTTTAGGAGGAGTTGTGGACTCCTGCCCATTTCACTTGTGCAAAGTGATGGAGGTGAATAGTCCTGGCAGCTGCTGCAGCCCTGCAGTTTGTGACCCTGTGATTGTGTAATATCTTTCCTCCAGCATGGAGCACATTGGCTGTGACACTCTCCTTCTCCAGTCCCTCCCTCTTTGGTACAGATCACACCGCCCAGCCAGGCTTCGTTGTACTTGGCACACACATCCCTGTTTCCTTGGCCAAAAGCTCTTTCCTGCCCTCCTGCAGCAGAGCCAGGCTGCCTTGGGCACATCCCATCTGTACCTGCCCTGCAGTGTGGTGCTGGCAGGCGCTGGAAGCAAAGTGCAGGGGAGGGGAAAGGCCCTGAACTCCCCATCCCTGCCAGCGCTGCCAAAGCACTTTGCACAGCTGGACTTTGGTCAGAGGCTGCACAAGGACACTCCTACCACATGGCCTTTCAAAGTGCTCCAAATGGCCACTGCTGATCCTGAAACCCAAAATCCCTGGGTAGAACACAGTCCTTGTCATGCTTCTCCTTGCTTTTTCACAGGTCTTATCTCCCCTGGCCAAGGGCTTGTTCCACAAGGCCATTTCAGAGAGTGGCACTGCAGCCCTGGGCTTGTTCACTGACCAGCCTAAGGAGGATGCACAAGTGGGTATTGGTGGCAATTTTAATTACTTTTTCCAGACAGTTCTGCATATCTTAAACTGTTCTGTCCAGAATATTGAAACATGGTTTCCTTCTTGGGAATCAAAACAGACCATCATTAAAGACAGTAATTCTCTGTGCAAATAGTACATGTTTAATGATGTGTTGCTTTTCAAACACCCAAATATCCACAAAGAGTGAAGAATGAAATGGAAAGGAATATTGTAACATGTAGTGTCTTCAAAAAAACTCAACTTACACTTTTTGGCTGGAAAATGGCATCAGACTCTGCATACTCTTCTCTTCCCCTCCTCTTTGATGCCTGTAGTGTGCCAATAAACAGGTCTTAATTCAGTTGTTTTTTTTTAATTTGAGAACTACAGGCTTCCACCCCTTTCTTTTCTCTTCAACTGCAAGGAGCAATTTCCAGAACCTGGAAGCTGGGACATAAAAGAGACAGCTCCCTCTAATGACACTCTTGCTCCAGCCCAAAAAGACATCCCCAAGATTGATAGAATGTGCTCTCTGATACCCTGCAGATGGTTTATTCTCTAACTCCAGTATGTCACCCAGCCTTCTCAGCCCAGCATGTTATTTACCAGAATTGTCTTTGAATATTTCTGTATCAAAACATCTTGGAGGCAGAGGTTTTCCCCTTCTGCCCAGCCCGTGGTGTGAAGGATTGTGAGGGCTTCCAGTGCCCTGCCTCTGGAGCTGGGACAAGCCAGGCTCCAGGAACCTTTGTGCAGGAGCTTTGGCAGCTCCTGCTGGACTCAGTGTCTCATAGAGCCAGACAGAGGAAATGTGGCCAAAACTGTTTGTTCTCACTGCTTGCAGAAAATTGCTGCTGTCTCTGGCTGTGAAAAATCCAGTTCAGCTGCAATGGTTGAATGCTTGAGAGGAAAAACAGAAGAAGAACTACTACAGGCAACACAGAAAATGGTAGGTGAAATGATACCTCTTGCATTTAAATGACCTCTCAGACTTTTTCATCCCAAAGAATACTCTGTGGGATGTAATAGTAGAAGAACCTGAAGTGGATGTAAAATCTGACTTTCTTGACTTTTTCAGCACGACTGACAGATCTGCAGTGAATTCTTGCCTGAAAAGTGCAAACAGGTTCCTGCCCTTCCGTTCTGCATGCACATGGCGTTACCTGTGGTTTGCTGTGTGCTGTTTTTATTACGGCAGGGGTTTCTCGGGGTCTCTCTGACTCTGGCTGCCATACGTGTCCCGGATAACGAAATACCACTGAGCACAACCTGTCCAGGTGTCCCAGGCAGGCTCCCAGCCACAGACAGTCTTAGCAAGCAGCTCAGCTCTTCAGTGAGATCAGCTCTTTGGTGAATTCAGCTCTATAATGATTTCAGCTCTTGGCTCGCTAAGTGCCTCGGCACACGCAGGAGAGAGAGAAGAGTTGTGTGAGGTTCCACAGAGGTGTCTTTATTGGCAGCTTCTGCAAAGAGTCACAGTGACAGCTCTTCTGCAGAACAGCACAGAAGTGGGTGTTTATATAGGGTATAGGGGTTTGGGGAAACATTCCAATAGTAAAGGTCAAGGTGAATATGACCTATGGTCTTACAGAGAGATAACGAGGGTCCGAAGGCAGAAGAGAGGGGCTTCTTTGGTCCAGTCATCATGACTTGGCATTTCTTATCTTAGGCAACCGACCACCAGGGAGGCCTTGCAGGCCCTGTGCCTGCTACAGTGCTCTACCAGGGCAAGGAAAATAAAATGGCACAGATGATGGCACAGATGATTCCGGAGGACCTGAAATCAAATAATACATTATGTCCTACTTAAAAGTTCTTATCACAATGCTTATGTGCCTTTGAAACTTCAATACAGAAATTATTTTTGTACCACTGTTCCACACATCATGGCCATATTGAACTAAGAAAACATGTAAATTTAACATAATGATTTCTGCTTCACAAACATCATAGATATCATGGCACAGATGATCCAGGAGGACCTGAAAATCAAACCATATATTATCTCCTACTTAAAAGTTCTTATCACAATGCTTATGTGCCTTTGAAACTTCAATACAGAAATTATTTTTGTACCACTGTTCCACACATCATGGCCATATTGAACTAAGAAAACATGTAAATTTAACATAATGATTTCTGCTTCACAAACATCATAGATATCTTCACAGTTTTCAGCCTAGTGCAAAAAATCAGTAAGAAAAAAAATTGAGATGGCTTGGAAACCATTACTTTTTGTATTTTCATTGGGCTTCACTTTGGAACTGCAGTAAAAAATCTGAACTTCTTTTAGAAGCAAATAGAATGCATTAATGAAGCTTTCTTTTTTCCCTTTTTGTTCAGGATTTCTTTTTCATCAGTGCATGTGTAGATGGTGCCTTTTTTCCAAAGAGTCCCAGGGAATTACTATCTGAAAAATCAATCAATGAAGTCCCATACATCATAGGAGTAAATAACTATGAATTTGGATGGATAATTCCTATGGTAAGACATTAAAAAGGTTGTTATTTAAACATCATTTTGTAAATAGAGGCTGTTTTATTAAGTATGAATCTTTGTATCACACAGATGATGAAATATCCTCCTTTTGTGGATGGTCTGGATAAAGATGTTGCACGTCAAATTTTACAGAGCAACTTAGCAATATTCATTAAGGTAAGAGACCAGTTTCAGAATAACCCATAGAAATATAATGTTAATCTTCACAGAACCTCCTGCCTAATGCAGAAAATCAGAGAAATGTTAAGATGGCTTGGATAACGTTATTTCTTGTATTTTCATTAGGCTTCACTTTGGAACTGCAGTAAAAATCTGAACTTCTTTTAGAAGCAAATAGCATGTTTTAATGAAGCTTTCTTTTTCTTTTTTCCCTTTTTATTCAGGATTTATTTTTCAGCAATGGATGTGTAGATGGTGCCTTTTTTCCAAAGAGTCCCAGGGAATTACTATCTGAAAAATCAATCAATGAAGTCCCATACATCATAGGAGTAAATAACTGTGAATTTGGATGGGCGTTGCCTATGGTAAGAGAATTATAATGTTGTTATTTAAACATCATTTTGTAAATAGAGGCTGTTTTATTAAGTATGAATCTTTGTATCACACAGATGATGAAATATCCTCCTTTTGTGGATGGTCTGGATAAAGATGTTGCACGTCAAATTTTACAGAGCAACTTAGCAATATTCATTAAGGTAAGAGACCAGTTTCAGAATAACCCAGTGCTGCTGCTTTGCTGGTTGGGCTGTTTTTACCCCTGGAGGGACACATTTCACAGGGAAATGCCATTGTGCTGGACAGCTCCATGAACTGGGGCAGAAACAGGCACCGAGGTGCTGCATTCCTGTTACCTCTAGTGACTGGAAACACTCTCTACACTTCCAGCCTAAATGCCCCTCTTCTTCAAAAGGAGTTCTGTGGGAATCCAGGAGTGGTGCACGTACCTAAACAAGGCTTCTTGGGATATTTCAGATACCCCCAGGTTATGCAAGACATGCAGAGTTCCAGCAGGTGTGGCAGGAGACCCAGGGGACACAATCTCCTGAAGCAGTAGCTGGGCGCTGGAGAGGAAAGCCCAAGAGATTTGGGGTGCACTGACACCCTCATTCAGTTTCTCGAGGTTTTGCTTCCCTGTAATTTACAAATCTCTTGCCTTTCTGGTGCCTTTGTGCTCTCCTGAAACTACTCCATAGGAAAGTACAGATGAAGAGGTAAGAATTAAGGACCCTAGAAGCAGGGCCAGTACTTGCCAGGACCTTCAATGACACAAACATCCGCCATGACCATGGAAACGCAGAGCCCAGGCGTGTTCTGCACAGGAGAAATTCTGGTCATCTACAACAACCAATGGATTTTATGAAATCCAGCAGGATTTCTGTGCTGTTATGAAGGTGTTTCCACAGGAGAGAGAACAATCAGCATCACTGGTTGCTGTTTATCTGAAGGCAGTTGAGCCTTTGATCTTGCATCCCTCTCTTCCCTGAGATCACCTGTATCCATAGCTGTGTAACCCCAATCTGAGCTCCCAGCCACACTCTGACACAGCTGGGGGTTTTCTCTGAAAGCTGTTGTTTGGGGATTAGCCAGGGATGTGCTGAGGCCACACTCACCCACTGCTGTTACTCCCTGTAATATTCATCATCATTAAAATGGTTTTTATTGCTGTTTCAGGGCCTGACGTCTGAGGTTGTTGACAGAGTGTACAAGGAGTACATGGGGGATGCAGAAAGCCCTGCCCAGGTCCGAGATGGCCTCCTGGATGCAATGGGAGATGTCTACTTTGTCATCTCAGCTGTGGAAGTGGCCAGACACCACAGAGGTAAGCCAGCAGCCTCAGAACAGCTGTAGAATTCAGTCTGGGGGGGCTGTGGGCAGTGTGCAGCACTTCTCACTATCCAGAGAACTGCTAGTGTTTTTATTTAAGCCATACGGTTTTTCATGAAAGTTTATCATCTTTGGAGCAGTATTTTCAGCTCTCAAAACAGCACTTTTCTGTATCCTCTAGATGCTGGCAACCCAGTCTACTTTTATGAATTTCAACATCGACCGAGTTCAGCGGAAGGTTTGGTACCAGAGTTTGTAAAAGCAGATCATGGAGCTGAGGTTGCCTTTGTCTTTGGAAAGCCATTCTTAGCTGGTGATGTACCCATAGTTACTCCATATTCCTTTTAGAATCTCATTATTACTCATATCAATTACTGCAGGCCCTTAGAATAGAATTTCTCTCTTACAAGCATCAAAAACCTTTTACATACAAAAAGCATACCTTATATATCATAAGCATCATTATGAGCATAAACATTTCCGTCTTCAGTAGTAGATACTTTTCATTACATCATTCATCTGCAGGTCTCTCCTAGAAAAACCTCCAACAGTTCAGGGCAACCTGGAGAAGTGTTGCAATTGATGTAGCTGATACTCATTTTTTAATTTCTAATGTGGCCCTTTCATCTCTCCTTTGCAGGAGGTGCTACAAAAGGAGAAAATGAGCTCAGCAGAACTGTTATGAGATACTGGACCAACTTTGCTAAAAATGGGTGAGAATCACTATGCTAATTACAGCTCAAGTTCAGCCTGTGCTGCCCAGAACATACTTACCTGCCTGAAGCAATACTTATATGGTGCTTCTTAGAAATTTGGCAGAATTTAAGATAAATATTGAAGCAATTTCTCTTCCTAATGGTCTTCTTAAAGCAACCTGCAGACATGAGGAAGAAAAAAATCTAAGAGCAGTTACTCCATCTGCAATGGAGTTTTAGATCTAAAATTAATGGCAACTATTGCACTTTTGCTGTTCCACTGATGAGCATTTTCAATAAATGCTGTCAATTTATTCAGGTACCAGAATCACATCATCTGGGCTCACCTGCTGGCTTTCTGAAATGCTCTGAACCTGAGCAGTCAGAGAGCAATGGATTGGCAAGTGGAGAGCTAACTTTTCCTCTTATTATTTCCAGAAATCCCAACGGAGAGGGCTTGGTCCATTGGCCTCAGTATGACCTGGAGGAAAAATACCTGGGAATAGACCTGGAGCAAAAGGCAGCAGAGAAACTGAAAGTGCACAGAATGGAGCTTTGGGCACAGCTCATAAAACAAAGTCAGACTGGAAGGAGAAAACACACAGATTTATAAGATCCATGGATGCTACAGTTTGCTTTAAAACACAAAGGAAAGTCAAAGAAAATGGGTTTGACAGCATACAGAGTAATAATCACCTTCTAACTCACTGTTGTGTAATCTGCTGTCCTAATCACAGTGAAGGGAGAGAAACAAGGGGCATTTGGAATGTTTGTCAGACTGAAAATTACTATTTAATGAAGCAAGCAAAAAAAACCCCACAATCTTTCCATGTCCAGACAGAAGCGCAGAGTGGAATTTTGGGCACAGCTTGGGAAACAAAGTCAAATTGGAAGGAGAAAACACACAGATTTATAAGATCCATGGATGCTACAGTTTGCTTTAAAACACAAAGGAAAGTCAAAGAAAATGGGTTTGACAGCATACAGAGTAATAATCACCTTCTAACTCACTGTTGTGTAATCTGCTGTCCTAATCACAGTGAAGGGAGAGAAACAAGGGGCATTTGGAATATTTATCAGACTGAAAATTACTATTTAGTGGAGCAAGCAGAAAAACCCCCCACAATCTTTCCATGTCCAGACAGGCCACGGTACCTACTCAGTGCATATCAAAACTGAATACTGAGGTGGGAATGGGCAAATGAACTGAAATCTATAGGAAATGATCTATACAGAATATACCCTAAGTGTCAGACTATTTTATAAGCTTATGCCCTTCTTCTTGCAGAAGAGCATGGTCAGTTGTCCTTCCTAGAGACTCTTTCTGCTTTCTGTAGCTGGAATTAGGCAGCAGAGAAAGAGCATCCCTCACATTACACCTGTGGGGCGGGCTTGACACCTCGCAAAAGAGGACAGAAAATCTCTACCTGTTTTATTGCTTTGTGATTGTTATAAATAAATGTTGCTTTGATTTTCTGGAACTACCTTTTCTTTCACTTAACTGACAGAGGCCAATTGCCAGGTCAAGTCACACGCGAGAAGCCAGAAACATGCCCAGGTTCTTTCTTCCACCTAAATGGTTTCAGGTACGAATCTTTTCAGGTTTCTGTGCAGGACCTGAGGCTTATGGCTCTTTCACAAACTCTTCTGGGGTGTGACTGTGTGTCCTTCTACCCTTCCTGGCAAATGCCCACTCCAGTGGCTGCAGGAGGATGCAGTGCTGGCAGGACAGATGCCCACGGAGGCAGAGGGGGGAGCAAAGGCTGCAGGTGCTCCCTGCACGTTGCTGGCCCAGCACCACCAGAGAGAAGATCTGCTGACATGCTGAGTGTGACCCCCAGCCTCCCACAGCTGGGGAAGGGGTCAGGGCACACAGGGAGGGCAGTGCCTTTTTTGCCAAGTTCCATGGCAAGCAGGATACAAAGGAGCAATGTAGGAAGGCAGGAGAGCTCTCCTCATGACCATAAACAAACAAGCAAACAGCCCTACTCCAACCACCCCTTCAGCTGGTGCCCAGCTCCCACATCCCACAGCACCCCGGGGCTCTCACAGGGACAGCCCAAGCTCCTGCTGCAGGTGTTGACTCCTTTGGAAGTGTCTTCCTCTTCCTCCTCACCTCTGGGTGCACTTGCTTTTGTACACCTGTGGATCTCAAGCAGTGCCATCTGCACTACCTGGACACCCCCTTTTGTGCATTTTCCATACCTTTGTGAAGAACACCTTTTTTTTGATTCTCAGAAACAAGAATCTAACATAGCTGCGAAGGATTGGTGTGAAGATGCAGATGACTGGGGAGCCTGTGATGGAGCAGAGGCTCCTGCATGTGCCTCCCTTGAGCTACTTGGCCTGAAGGAAGCTGTGAGCAGTGAAGTGGAGTGTGCATGCCAGCTCCAGCAGCTCCACCTGTCTGAGCCTGCCAATGGCCCAGGTTCCAACATAATACATCCTGCAGCCAGGGAGGACATGGATGGCCCAGGTGCCCTGGACACACATCCTGCAGCCAGGGAGGACATGGTGATGGCAATGGCTGCTTCAGCTCCTGTGTTCCAGCCCTTCTACATTAATGTTGTGGATGAGGAAGATTACATGGGTTTCCTTGATACAGATCATGCAGATCAGCTACTGAAGGAGTATCAGCAGAGAGAGTGTGTTGATTTGGAACAGATGATGTCAGAAAGGTGAGAACAGGTCTGCGTTTCATGGTCAAATGGAAGGAATTGTGTGGTGGTTTCCTGTATGCTGACTGAGAATCTAAATGGGACTCCCACAAAAGCTGAATGGTGTTGTCTGGAACTCCTTTAGGAACCATTGGGGTGCTGTGCAGGAAGAGCAGAGCAGTGCACCCAGTGCTGCCAAACCTGGAGTTACTCAAAGGTGGTTGTAGCTCTGCTGTTTCTGAGTGACTGAGCAGTGGTCACGGGCTCCAGGTGGTGCAATGGATGGTCAATCTCTGAAAGAAGATCTGTGCCAAATGCCACGACTTTATATCATGACATTTCACGCTTTTTTCTTTACAGGGCTAAAGCTTTTCTTAGGTTTCAGTTGCTTTTTTAGGAGTTTAAATTTTTAGGGATTTTGGCTAGAGAGCTGGCTGATGGAAAGACACCTGAAGGTTTAGAAAAGGTTGCCTGAAAAACAGTTGTTGAGCGTGGTTACTGAAAACATTTTCTTCAAAAAATATTTAACTTAGGTGGTCACGGTGAGGACTTTTGGCCTCTTGTGCCTGGATTGGGGACAGCATTGAATTTGTTTATAGCTAAAGCTGCTGCCAACTGCAGAATCTGCACAGAAGACTTTTCAGCAGTGGGGGTCCTGTTGATTTTTGTTGACTGTTACAAAATCGTAGAACTTTAACTAGGCTTGATTCAAAATTGAAAAACACAACATCATAATTTGAAAAGCACAAAAATGTTTGAGAAGTTATTAGAGGAAGGGAGTTTTGATGGAATACAGCAGATATCTGGTGAATTTGAGTCCTATGTGATAGTTGAAAACACTGTTAGTAACTGTAAGAGACCAGAAACCAAAGAACTAAAAGAAAAATGTTCACTTGCAACTGTGGTATTCACATTCTCTGAACAGAGAGAGACATCATTCTCTCTGCCAGGATTTTTCCTGGGGAAGGCAGTGTGAAAACAATTCTTATCTCTACTTGCTGCCCCTATTGCTTTGCACCTGTGGAATGTGTTATGGAGATTGTTTACCACGAGTGATTTATTAATTGGACTCTGCTGATGGTTGTTTGGATTGATTGGCCAGTTGGGTCAAAGCTGTGTTCTGACAGTCTCAGAAAGTCAGTGGTTTCCTTTAGTATCTTTTTAGTATAGAGGATCTCTTTAATAAAGTATCTCTTTATTGTAATGTAGTATTACTGTAATATAACCTTGCTTAATGAAGCAATTGATCAGCCTTCTCAATCATGGAGTCAGAGCACATTATTCCCTATCTTGGGTTCACCCTGCATCGATATGCAACCTCTAACAGCAATTTTCTCTTAACACATATATCTTTCTTCAGTGTATTTAGTATAATTTAATGTAAGTTTAGAGTCCTCATTGTTTTCTCAGCACCTCAGGGTCATAGCATTGCCCATCTGCCAGTGCACAGTGAGCA